TACTTTGTACAACAGCATTAATACTTTCCTATCTCCGTTTGAAACATGTCAGCTGATATGTCTTAGGGTTGTGGATTTCTTCACATGTAACTTTTTTCCCTGTTTTTATTAACCACTACTAAACCACTGAGGATAAGTCTTCATTATGAAATCCGCAGTGATAATGCATCTTTTTCTTGATGTAAAAATATATACTGTTTGAGTAGTTCAGATTATTTCTTCCAGTGTTTTGGTACATTTTTCAGTATTGAATTTCAGCTGTCAAGGCGATAACTTTTTACCTAGCATTGCTTATGTTTCTTTGCAGCTTGTCAAAATATTGGTTGGTGGTGTGTTTATGTAGTTTGAAGTCTTACTTGTCACCTCCTTTTTCAGATCATTAATAATATAGTGATTTTAGTAAAACTCTTGTGACGTTCCGTGAACCTTTTGCCTTAATATTATTACTTACTCTTTTTTTTTGCCTCTCTTTAGTTTCTAATCCTTGCTACTACTTTTCCTTTCACTGCAGTTTAATGAATTTTTATTGGTCATTTTTGCACCTTGCTCTCAAGAAAACTTTCACCAGTTGTTTTGCTGCCTGGGCCTTTCTTTTCTAGGACTAATATTTCAGGAGTTAAAGGATGTTAATTGCTATTGAAAGTGCCAAAAAAATAAGTTTGTGAAAAGTTTAGAGCCTTAAAAAAGCAATGTGTAGTTCTGAAAGAAATTGTGTTGTCTTTCACTTAAAGTGAAAGTATGCAAGGAATACAGTGTAACAGGTGCTGGGTGCACCTGTTACTTTAAGAAGGCAGAGGGCTGTGGAAGGACCAGAGTCAAGCAGGAGAGCACATGACCAGAAAGGGGCAGAGCTTAACTGGGAGATAAGCCCCAGGCCAGGGCTGGGGCAGGCAGTCTCACCCTGGCTGCTGATATGGAAGGAGCTCCTGAGCATGCCGCCGACAGTGGGAGAATATGTACTCCCAGGAGTTAAGAGTAGGCAGCCTTAGAGCTGGGCTAGGGCCTGGTGGCTTAGGGATTGAGACAAGGGGCAGTGATGGTCTCAACAGGCCTAGGAGGAAGGAGTCAGAGAGGGCTCAGGCCCAGGAGCAGGGCAGATTGAATGGTAACATCTGCAAGACATGGGCATGGTGTAAGGGGCGGTTGGAGCCATGTAATAAGCCCTTAAGGAGCTGAATAGTGATACCTGAAAAGCAGCATGAAATTGAGGATCCCTGGGGTAGCTTCCCTTTCCAAGGATTTAATAACAACAAGGCATGGCAGGTGAGGAGAAGGGGAGCAAGTCTGAGAACCGAGGCAGAGCAGGGGCCAAGCAGCTACCCCTGGGATCAGCACCTGTTACATACAGTATAATGATATTGCATTCATTATATTAAAAAGCTCTGAAGAGGTTTCTTAAAAAATATTTTTCTTGGCAAATTTGGTCAAGTTAATAGGTTCTTCTTCCTCTTTTCCCACAGTGGTAAGAGTACTGACTAGTGGGATGCGACAGTTCAGGAATACCACAGTAAAGAAAATGAATTCTAGTTTTAAGATGGAATTCAGATCATGCTGTGGCTTCCCTCTCATGTTTCCTTTGACATAATTATTTTGCACTGATTATTCAGCTGGCTGGGTATAGTATGCATTGCTGTACTAGGGAAATCCATAATCATGCTTTTGATAGAAAAATCAGTTTTGTTCTTGGCTACTGACCAATCATCTCTTAGTGCTTGTATGTATTTCAAAACATACAACATGTAATAATGGTAGAAAGGAAACAGTCCATTTTTCTACCACAATGCTCCACTTACCCTCTCAATTACAAGGGGCGCTGTGGGAAACCCTTCAAAGGGATTTGTCTTCAAAGAAAGGGAAGGGAAGATCCTGAATGGTATTTAAAGGCAAAAGCATAGAAATGGGACAGAAGAAAGAACTAGTATACAGAACAAAGTTGGTTGACTTCATTATTTTTTTTTCTTCTTAACATTTTCGGTGTAGCAAATATACCTGATGGGATTTTTTATCTTTGTTACATTTCTAAACATCCCCACTAGTTCTGAATTGTTCATGTACATGATTAATGTAGGTTTTAATGGAACGATGAGTTGTAATACATTTAAGACAGACAAGGTTCTTTGGATAGATGTGATATCTTTTATTAGACCAACTACCCAAAGAACCTTGTCTGTCTTTATGTCCTTAGACCAACACGGCTACAACTAACAACCCTAACAAACTTACGAGAATTTCAGTTTGGGCTGGATTTGAATCTACTTTGGCAATATTTTAAACATTGCAGATTTTGCCTGTATAATTAGAGGTGCACTGATGCATCAGTCTGATTTTGGATCGGCATTGATATTAAGAAAATTTACTATATTGGACATCGGCCATATCGGGCCGATAAATGCCCCCATGCATGTGCACAGCTGCAGTGCAGCTTGTAGGCAGTGAGGAGCACAGCTTGGCAGTGTGGATAGCTGGTAAGTCTGGTGTGGTGGAAGGGAAGAGGGGAGGGAAGGGAAATGTGGGGGGCAGATCAAGGCCCCTGCAGGGAGGGAGGGAGTGGGGCTGGGGCAAGTGCTGCCCAGCTGAGGCAGGTATGGGACGGAGCCACGGCTCATCCAGGGGGCACAGAGAAGGGTAAGGTGGCTCCTGCTGCTGTGTGCCACTCGTCCAGGAGCCGCTAGTCCAGTGGCTCTTCTGGTGCTCGCCTGCTTGTGCGGCAGCTCCTGCTGCTCGTCCTGAAGGGCACAGGAGGGGTCATGTGCCCCCAGATCTGCACAGGGCAGGGTAGGCTGGGGCCGGGGCTGCACCAAACTCTTTCTGGCAGAGCAGTCTGTGCTGGGAAGAGGGCCGAGGGGGGGGCTGCAGTTACAAATTCACTGTAACCCCTTCCCAGCACAGCTTTGGCCCCACCCTACACAGATCTGGGGGCACGTGCCCCCCACCCTCATGCCCTCCCATACTAGTGGCAGGAGTCACTGGGTGAGCACCAGACCAGTGGCTCCTGGATAAGCGGCCCACGGTGTTGGGAGCTGCCTTTCCCCCACCCCCGCACCCCACCCAGATGAGCTGCATGCCCATCCTATGCCCACCATAGCTGGGCAGCACTTGCCCCAGCCTCTGCTCCAGCCCTCCCTCCCCACAGAGGCCTTGATCTCGCACCCTCCAGGCCCCTTCCCTCCCCTCTCCTCTTCCACCACTCCAGACTTACCAGCTGGAGGCAGCACTCCACGCTGCTGGGCTGTGTATTGGAAATCAAATCAGTATTGGCCAATATGCCTTCTTAAAAATCCGCTATCGGTATTGGCCTCAAAAATCTCTATTGATGCACCCCTGCGTATAATCATACTGTTAAAAAAACAAAGAAACCCAAAATTAATCCATTTGAATGAAATGGGTCTTTAAAGTGCAACATTTTTCTTTAAAAAAAATTGAGACAAAACACAAATCTGACTTTTTTTAAAATTATTTTTCACCCACAACTTTGAGCACAGTGAAACTAGTTTTAATTGTCTAGGCAACTGCAGGTATAATGACAGGCAGATAGATCTCCTTTCTACAAGAATAAGTTAACCTGCAGTCACTTTCATAATATGTTTGTTATGTGCAAGTTCAACAGATATAGGTGATCTAAAATTAGCTGGTTTAAAATCCATTAAAATGTATTTATTATTATATTAGTTTATCATGAAACTTCTAGTCTTAGTTTTGCTAATTCTTTAAACCTGGATAGATATTAACTGATATGGTCAGATTGATTATCTGTCTTGTATTGAAAATGGTGAAGAATTTTTGGTTAATAGGTAAAAGGACTGTTAATTTGAGATATTGTGAATACTGCATATTGGCACAATTGATGACAATTCTACATTTTGTTTTAATATTATATGGTCTCTTTTATTATAGGAAGATTTGACACCAAAAGATATTGAAGACATAATTGATGAACTTAAGGCTGGCAGAGTTCCCAAACCTGGTCCAAGGTACTTTGTATAACAAGAGCTGAGTAATTAGAAATAGCTTTATGGGGGGAAGAGATTTATTTTAGTGTCTAGTGAACTAGTGTGAAAGGGGACTGAGGTGGTACAGCTGCTAAGGTGGTTGACAAACCAGAGTTTGCAAGTTTAAGGCCATAGTAGAAGTGCTTATGGCGTGGCCCTGTCACATTCCAACAAATCTGTAAATTTTGCTAAATACCTTGTCACACAAGGACACAAAAAAGATGGAAAGTTTCTGTGAAAGGTATTGGATTATATACAGTAGAAACAAAGGCTTCACTGTTTAGTGAAGTAAAGGTACAAGCTTTTCCATGTGTCTGAATCTGAATATAAAGAGGACTGGGCAAACTGTTGAGGAAAGTTTTTCATTTTTGGTCTTTTAAGACTGCCAACAGGAGCACTTAAAGAGGTGAGGGCTCTGACATGGCTGGGAGACCCATAACTAGATGTTTTGCCTAGAGTACATAAACACACTACTAATCTGTGCTGTATTTGAACCTCCTAAAAAGCTCATTTCTCTGTTACCTACTGTTCCCGAACCATTTTGTAGGTGTAGGAATGTGTAGCTAGGAGAGCTAATTATTGATATATATTTAGAAGTATTATGTATTATTGATTTTTGTAAGCAGACTACAGTAATTGAGGAAAAAATACAGCTTTCAGGTAACACAGAAATGAATGAAACATTATGTTGCCTTCTGGTGTTGACTAGATTAAAAAGGGGTGTTAAACCCATGGACCACAAGTTAGGTCTGGTCCGCATTGCCATGTCATCTGGCCCATGGGATTTTTCATGGGTCTGAAAATTTGGTGGGAGGTGAGTGGTGGTACTGTTCCCCTGCTTCCCAATTTCCAGACCTGTGGGGAGAGCCCTACAGGCTGGATAGCGTGACTGTATGCATGATGCCCTAGGGCCCAAGGCATCCCGCAGACTGGCTGTGCACCACTCATCTGGCCCACAGTGCCAAAAGGTTGAGCACCACTGCTATAAAGTATTCAGATGCTTGACACTGCTTGAATTAGAAAAATAGCAGACCCAAGTTTGAGTCAGACTACTTTAATCCTTTGGATAAATGACAATTGTTACAATACTGAGTAGTTATTTAAAAACAAATCTGATAGATCTTTTTCTTTCCAGGAGTGAGCGATTTTCTTGTGAACCAGCTGGTGGTCTTACATCTCTGACTGAACCACCCAAGGGACCTGGATTTGGAGTTCGAGCAGATCTATAAGGATTGATGTAATAAATTATAAAATCACAAGTTGTATGAGAATAATAAAACTACTTTCCACTCATTAAACGACCATTATGATATGTTTAAACCTTTTTTTAAAGGTAAAATAGCAACAGCAGTAAAATACAGTTAACAATACGAAATGCTAAAATCACCATCTTCAGATTTCTAACCCACTGCAGTAGGGCAAACCCTAAGTAACCAGTTTGGTGGAACGGAAGAAGTAGTTTATGATAAAGCATCATAATATGTAACAATTCCCGTCAAAGTACTTTTGTGAGTTTCCCTGATCTTTTATTTATAAAGGTTCTTTCAGTGAAGGAGAAGCTGACTAATTAGCTGCATACCTAGTGCTGGCGCACACTCAGATACACTGGAAACAATTTTTTCCCCATACGTAACTTCCCTTTATTATGTGTTACTATAGTAGAAATGCTTTATGGACATACCATTCTTTTTATTTAAACCGTTTTTTAAACATTTGTTGGATTAAGTAAAGACATGTTTAATTCTCAATAATGCCATGTTATGAAGAACTAGAGATGACCTTTTAAAGGTACAGGAAAATATAAGTGGAATGCACACATAGAACAGCTGGTCTCCAATGATATATTAAGTAACAATGCATAAAAAAACCACCTTCTGTCCAAATTTATTATTGACCACAGTCAAAGTGTGCAGTTAGAGGATGGCGTGCAAGATATTTTTATAATGCATCTTAATTTTGCTATATGAAATGTCAGTTCTTTGGTCCATGGAAGGCAGTGGGTGTGTGGCTAGGCCCAGGTGAAGGGTTCTGACCACCCGTGTCTGCCTGCCCAGTGTTCAGTTTAGGAGTTGGCAGACATGGGTGAGCAGCGTTGCCAGACAAGCCAAGGCCTTTTAAGTGCTGTAAAACAGACTGGAAATTGACACAGACCTTTTGGAAAAGCTATTATTTAAGAACAAAGTGTGCTACAAACCTTTAAAATTATGAATATAACTGTTCTTGGAGTCCATGTTGACAACTGCATTCAAAATTAAGACAAATATTAATTGAAGTGTGAATCTTTAATAGTGTTCATAACATGGCTTACATTTTCAATTTGAGACCATCTGAAAGTCCTGGTCCGGTAACTCTTTTGGACCTGGGTGAGTAGTCGGCTAGATAGTCAAGTTGGCCCTTTTACTTTTGTTTTCTTATTAATCTTGTGATTCATCTCTGATCTCATTGTTTTGTGTTTGCTGCCACTGTTAATGAGCAGGAGACTGGTAATAGCATCTTTTTCTTTTTGACCTGGGCTTTTTTTATCTATCTAGTTGTCAGATGGTTTTTTGGTATTTTAGTCAACAGAATAACACTATGCAGTTTGTTTCTACATAAAATATTAGTGTAACCTGTTATGATGGTGTATGCATTTGGTAGAAGAACTGTTTTCCACAATCATGAACAGGAAAGAAAGATGGCCTATGAAATAGTTTCAGTACGAATGTGGTCTTCCTACTAAAAGATTTAAAATTATTCCTTATACCATATTTCCAATTGAGGAGAAAGTTATGACAAATAGCATACCTTTTCTGAAATCAATCATCTATATGGTAGTCTCCAGCTTTCTACATAAGTGCAAAAACCAGTGAAACAAAAATAGTTAACTATCATAGCACACAATTATACTAAAATTATTTCCCTATCCCATATAAAACCCTAATTAAATGTTGAAAAATGTCTATTTTCTTGGCTTCAGAAATTTAGCAAGCTATTCATTCCCTGCAGCAGTCCCAAACATAGTGTATGCCTCCTGAAAACGTGTAAAGGCAAGTTAGTGACCTCGACATATACTGCATTTCCTGATGTTCTTTGTGCAACTGCTGTTATGACAAAGTCCACAGCATATGTTCTAACCACAACACTCACAAAGTCAAGTGGCATGTCATAACTTATATTGCTTGAAATAAATTGTATATGGTGCTATAGTAGTATATTTTCCCCTTTTCAAATATACATTTTTATACTTTAAAAAAATAAACCTCATCACCTTTTAGTTTCCATGAATGCTGCCATAAAGAACCTTTGCAGTGGTAGTATTTTCAGTGTTATCTGTATGATGTGCTCTTGTAGTAGCTGTGCAAGTTGTAACTTGCAGTTATCTAGTACTACTTTAATAATAATCTTCAAATACTTTCAAATATTAGACCTTATAAAGCAAGCACTTTTTTTTATAAAAAATCAATTTGAGTAAAGTGGCTTGTTTCAGGATTTTTCTACATCGAAAAGCCAAATAAGCGGTAAGTGGTCCATAACTGGTGAAGTGCCAGTGGTCCAGCGTGCCACACTAGCAATCCAGTTTTGTGTGATGCTTAAGCTTGAGTTCTCCATTTGAGCTCTACTACAGCATTGCAGTTGCTCTATCTTATGAGCCCTTATTCTAAAGCTCATGATGATGATCTCTGAAAACAATTGCTTCTGGGAGGTATCACAAGCTTATTAAGGAGTCAAGCCCTCTATGAGCAAAGACAAAAAATCTGTAAGTCTTTAGTTGTTGGGGCTGTATCCAAGACTTTTTCAAAAGAGACCAACATGGCAGTTTTGGAAAGTGAGTGGCAAAACATCCAAGGTAACTAGCAAATGGAAAAACAGTTGATTATAGTTTTTCGGTGGTGGTCATAAGTGCATTTTCTAGCTTCCTTTCCTTCTGGTTCCATACAATACTCAGATTCTAAGTACTGAGGTGTTCTGTTTTGTGTTGTTTTGTTTTGTTTTGTTTTGGGGGGGGGGGGTTATGGTCCAAACCATGACAGCAGAATGGCCAGACATTTGTTTTCAGGTCCTGAGAGAGAGAATAGCGAGTATAACTTTAAAACGTGGAAGATTTTTCTGTATTCCTTTGATCAGCTAGAATAACTGTGCCCAAATATGTGGAATAGTCCACTGGAACAATGCAGCAAATACCCTAAGAAGTTGGATATCTCGGCTAGTTAGTTAGCTGGCTGTGTGGTCAGGGATTGCATAGTGGGCATTATGTTGTTTTGCAATAAAGAATGTATAAGAAGGTATACGAAAAGTGCACATTATAATCAAAGGATATAAGCAATTTAAATATATTTTATGTTCAGGAGGTACATTTGGACCTGTGTGCCCATTCTGTGTCTTCTCTTTTCTCTCAATTAACTCTCTTTAAGTGTGTTCGCTGAAAGGGCTGCCATATGTGTGCTTTGCGGCAGACTAAAGATAGGAGAAAAATCATTGGAGATTCTGTAGCTGCCTTACTTAAAGGAAAATACACAGGCTTTACTGAATTAAATACAAATGAAATACAATCACCAGATACACTATAGTGAGTTAATTTTTAATACTGTTCCATTTCCAGTTTTCAGCATGCAAGTGAAAACAAAAAGGGTTAAATTGTTCACTTGTAACAACTTGGTGATTAAATGCAACCATATTTGTATACATAACCTATATGTAGAAGGAGGTGACTTTAGTAGTTCCTGCAAAGGCTAACAATTTTGCCCTGGAATCTGTTGCATATATTGGTATGACCTGTAGTTTGCACTTCATACCATGTCCCCACCATCATGGCAGCATGCTGCCTTCTGTCAGAATGCTTCTTCATGCTCTGATTGGCTGTTTGTCAGACAATCAGAGCGTGACTAAAGCATTACAGACAGACAGACAGACGCAGGCTTTTCTAATACTAGAATTCCTATTGGGACTACTGGTCTCTCATTGTTCTCTTTTCCTGATTCCAGAAATAGTAGCCAACATTTCCCCTATTTTGTTGCTTGAATTAGTCTAGTCTCTCACACCTATGTCTTACTTTGTTCACAGACCTTAACATGAGATCTAAGTTTTGTTATGTGCCCAGAAATTAAGTTTTCCTTGCTGTTTCATTTCCTTACCCTCACTAGGATATCTGCAGTGTGTATTAGTGATAGCTTTATGAATCCTATACCTTATTAGTGTTTATATTCATTCTGATGAAAGAGTATATAGAGTGGTTAAAAGATTTCGTATCAGCTGCTGGTTATCATTGGACAACCACAGTGCAGGAGATGTGTTAAATGCAAAACAAGTAATGACTGTTGCAATAGGCAGACATTTCTTGAAGTAGCAAGGAAAATACCAGAAGTAACAATTTCAGTTCAGTTTCAGATTCCAATACCTTTTTGCAAGGGTCTCTCCTTCAACCAGATTTAGAATTCACCCATGTGAGGTATATGGGGAAGGAACATTTTAACTAGAGTAATTAGTATTACCTATTACAGGGCATATGGCCCCTTTGAAAACATTTTTGTGGGGTCCAAGAAAAAAATTAATTTCCAGACAAGGGGGATGGCTGAGAAAACTGTACTATGGAGGCACTGACTGCTTTGTTGCCTCCCCCCACCCCTGCAATGTAACTCTCAAGGGTCTGAGGGAAGATTAGTTGAAGTTGCCACTAGATTTCTAGTAGCAAAAGTCAAGTCAAACAACTGCTGATATGGGAAGTGCATTCCCCTGATCCTCATGACTTGCGCTGCAGCCACTACTAATATATCCATCCATCCAGAACACGCGTGCGTGTGTGTGTGTGTAAAGTATCCATATCCATCCAGAACTTAATTGTTGTATAGGGAATAGTAAGACTGAATGAAAATAAGATTCTACTGAGATCTGAACAGAATGCTAATTAGGTTCCCTGACTCCTTGGTGTGCCAATATAGAAAAAATGTAGCGTGTGCTTGGTTATGTAGTGTCCAGTATGTAATTTCTTACAATAACATTTTTATTGTTGGCCTTTTTATTATACTGTTTGTAATTGCCCCATCAGTTGTTTAGCATTTTTAATTCAGCACGAGGCATCAGATAATGTGCATGCCAATCTAGACACATTTGTCCAAACCGGTAATAGTAGTTTATGCAGCAGGTAAGAGGTTTTCAGGGTAATAGAGGTTTTCAAGGTTGATGCCAAATCAGCGGTACTGTTCAGGTACTGGATTGGTTGAGCTCTAGAGGAAGTTGGCAGCTGCACCTGTGTAACAAGGAAAGGAAGCTACAGCTTTCTGGATATGTTAAAGAGAGGGAAGGAAAGGGAATGGTCTTCTTGTCATGTGATGCTATATCTACCCTTTTATTGAACCCTTATGGCAGCTTTTGTAAGAACCTGGGTAACACTTCCCTTATCTATCAAAACTGTCAAATGTACCTGTGATTGAATTTGCAGTCATATCTGCTGCAGAGGATCCATGCCCTCCTCCCCCAGTTACTTCTCACCCTGAATTGGCTTATCTGCTATTTCTGGATTTCCAATGTTGTTCTGCAGTTAGTATTCGGAGTCTCCTTAGTTGCTTCCTTGCCTTCCTGACTCCTCACATTCAGGACCCATGCTTCTTCTTTATGCACCATTACACCCGGTGTCTTTGGGTTACCTAGAAGCATCTTCTGTCTTAGTGAGAGGATACATCCTTGAGCATTTGGTTCACCTTATAAGTTTTCTTTTCTTGGAGGGGGCCTAGAAGAGCCCCTACTTGTTCTGAACTTTGTTTTATAGAACAGTGGTTTTCAACCTTTTTTCATTTGTGGACCCCTTTGGAAATTTCAAATGAAGGTTTGGACCCCTTTGAATTTTAAGTGTGGGCATGCACATGTTTTTGATTGGTCATAGACATCTTTCGCAGACCCTTTAGCGTCTGTGGACTCCTAGGGTCTAGGGATCACAGGTTTTAAACCAATGATGTAGGACATTCAATCCTGTGGCCCACTCTTGGCCCTGCCTGCCACTCAAATGACAACCATCTCGACCAGTCCATCTGATAGTTGTTTATTAAGTTATCGCAAAATGAGAGCAGCTGCCCTTACAGATGGCCACCAGTGCCCTTAAGACATCCTCAGGCCAGCTGGCAGCACCCTAATAGTAGCCTCCAAGACATGCTAATAACAGCATCAAAGTGAAAATACTGTACAAAGAGCATGCAACTGAACTCCATGGTGAACGAAGTAGTATTTGTATATGAGAAATGACTCCAAGAAATGTTGATCTTTGTGCAACAGAATTGAAAAAGCTGATCAGACAAGCTACCTCAATGCAAAGGAATGTTTGCCTTGTTAGGTCTGTGACACCAGCAATCTATGTCCACATATAGAGAAGGGTGTGTTGGAGGGCCATGCAATGGATAACTGTTCTCAAAACCAGCCTAATTCAAAAGGTGTTCAGAATATATGTACCATCTGAAGCATGTGTAGGGACACAACATGATGTTGGCATACTGCATACTTGAGGAATGAAACGTCAAAATTTCTCTAGCATAGACTAGACCAAAATGCCAGTTCTGCAACAATTCAGGAGAACAGAATCCAAATTTTGTATTTAACTGTTTCCAATGGTGACAACCTTCAGCACTGAGGACTTTTTGTCTTGCTACCTTGTTACATCCAGGTATATTCTTACATGCACTTGACTCTTCTACTTCAAGTCTTCAAGTTATAATTTAAGGGTCAGTCTACACAAGATAATTTTTTTAAATTTAATGTTAAGCTAGTCATAATTATCATTTGAGCATGGCACCACATTTAATACCATCATGCTGACTCCTAGTTTTGCCAGTGTTGCCTCTACTGCACCACTATCTACAAATGTAGATTTTGAAGGGCATTTTTTAGGAAGTTTCCCAAACGCAGACGGGACCTACCATTCCTGCCTCTTAAGGCTGCTATAATTTCAGTTAATGCACAAACCACCTAACTAAATAGTTTTGGGACTACCAGAAAAAAGTGTATACTATTTGACCATTGAATCGTCCCCATTTGGGACTTCACAATCTTGAAAACCCTCCCACAAACTCAAGATAAACTAAACCTGCCATCAGTACTACTTCAGAGACAAAAAAGTAACTTAATCACATTTCTTTTATTAATTTGTATGTCGCCTTCCCCAAAAATGGCTGAGGTGGTTTATAACAAAAAACAATATACAAATACTATAATGAAATGTTGACAGCAGTAAGGAGAGAGTTCTAGGTCTAGTTGATATGTGCATTGAAAAGTACCTCCTAAAGTATTTAAACCTTTCCTACCTTTTCCCTCAATACAAGAGGCTGTGAAAACGGGATCAAAAGGGTACAAAAAAGTGGCTGTTGTCCCCTGAGATGCATGGTGGTGCGTGCACAGGGAGATGAAGTATTGGATGGAGGGGAGGAAGCAGTTTGAAAGGCACCTTTTACAAGTTTGCAGGAGAAGCTTAGAGCAGTGATTTTTCAAGCAGGGTGCCTTGAGAGCCTTTCAGGGGTGCTGGGACACGCCACACAAAGTTAGCCATTAGGCGTGCAAACACTAGTTCACAAGATTGAAACCTCTGGGTTTAACAGGAATCCATGGTCTCAAAAAACCTGCCGTTTCATAGATTCATAGAAGTTAGGGGCTGCAGCTTTTTCAAGTCCTTTGCAACAAAAGAATGGAAAAGTATTTTTTCTATAGTCAGAAAAACAAGAGTTTTAAAACTTTTCCGAGTTGGTATTTTCCAAAGGGAGCCTCAAGTTGAATAAGGGGTGCCTTGAGTTAAAAAAGTTGAGAACCACTGTCTTAGAACGTTGGTTCTTAACCTTGCTAGACTTGAGGAAAATGCCAGTTCTTCACTGGTTTTGCCTTCACTAGGAAAATACTAGATCAGTTCTTCTGTTGCAAAAAACTGGTGAAGACCACAACAGAGCAGAATGCTTTTAACACTAGGGATCCCTGTTTGAAATCTCTGGGCACATCCCTGTAAGCAGG